TATTCCATGAAGGAGGCTTTGTAGAGCAGGGTTCCAGCTAGGCTATAGGGGCAGGAAACTTTGAAAGGACAAACAGCTAGAAAGAAGAAAAAATACTTCATGGGCCAGGTCTCTTTACAGTGGTCTGAATCCCTAAAGGAAGAATTCAAGAGGAGGTAGTCACTCACACCTTAGTAAGAATTAGGTTTCTTCTAGTAGCACCAGATTTGGAAGTAGAGGCAGGAGCCTTGAAAAACCTCATTTATTGAGGGGCCTGGTCAGCTGGAGTAGTGGGTGGGTGGGCTGGAGGGAAAAGAAATGAAGAGTGTGGGATCTGATGTGGGGAGACCCAAGTCTGTGTACCCCCCAAAGCACAAGTCTTCCCACAGCTGTCCCCATCATGTCTGTCAAGGGCTCAGGCCTAGCACCTGTCATGCCACATTTGTCAGCAGATCTGGCTCAGTGAGCCTCCCCTGTCCTCAGAACCCACCCCCGGTCCACCTCCAGAGCTCTTACCAGGCCCCTGCAATAGCTATTTCCTGCCTGCCTGGAGCTTAGGCCTCTCTCCTGGCTTGTTCTTCACCTATCTTCCCAGGCTTGCAAAACTGCCCCGCCCTACAGATGCTGGTCACCCTCCCATGTCTGTCCCCAAAGCACATGTAACTGTCAATTTTACTTGTCTAGGAAAGTTCCTATCTGCACTAACTGAGGTGTTTTCTTCTATATATTCCTTGATTATAATATCCTTGGTAAACAGTGGTGCTTAATAAATGTGTTGAACCTGTGATCAATGAGCAAAATAAAGTCCAAGTGACAAGTCAGAGGGCCAAGGCTAGACCTTCAAGACAGGGGAGGGAGGGCAGGGTGGATCCGGTGAGAGGGGGTAGATGGGGGGGGTGGGGCGGGCTGAGGGTTGGGGGGCTACACAAGGGGCCTGGGGAGCAGGGGGTCTGGAGTCTTTGTTGCATCCTCAGGAAAGGTACATGTGGCCCTGAGGGGGACACTGACATGGGTGTGAGGCTACCTGACAGCCACTTGTTTCTCTGGAGCCAGCCTTATGTGTGTGCTCCCCCTCCCCCACCCAAGCATGGAAGACAGCCTGGCTTGCACAAGGCTCCATGAAAGCACTAAGGTGAGTAGTTCAAAGTGTAGGTCAAATGCAAGAGCAGGCATCCCTGTGAAAATAATACCAACCTCAGGACCAAGTTCAAGAAGAAGGCGGACACACAGGGCTCCTGAAAATCCATTAGCAACACACAAAAGACTTCAAACAGAAAGCAGGAGCAGGCTAGGCTCTGTTCAAAGGTGGAGTGCCTGCTGGCACTTGAGGCCCCGAGTGCCAACCCAGCACCCCAGCTTGAGACATGCAACAGTGTCAAAGCCGTGAAGTCCTGTCCACCCAAGGACCACAGTGAGCAGCTTACGGTGGCAGAAGGTGCTGACCTGCTGGAACTGGCTGTATAAAGAATACTCACAATCCACAGCCACACTGGATCCCTCGGGGGAAGTGCCTGTAGATACCACCCAAGATGGATATCAAATGACAGGAATCCAGCTAGAAGAGATCCCATGCCTACCTGATGGGGGAACTTGCCAAGGACCTGGGCAGTGGCAGCCGGTGCCCCTGGCCTGTGATCATGTGTGCCTGCCACACACACGGGGCACTTGTCCGAGGATGTCCACTGCAGCTTTGCCTACCATTACTCAGTCTCTTAGGAATGCCTGTGGTTCAGTGCGATGGCCAATCACTGGGGTTGTTCCCATAGCCAACTGGACTCCAGGGGGCAGATGGGGATTCGGACTCCAGGGGGCAGCTGGGAACTCAAGTGAAAGAGTTCCTCATAGACTCAAAAGAGCCAGGGATCTAATGACTCAGAGGTTGGGGCTGTGTTTGGGGGGCGGGTCTTGGAGATCAGGGAGGGCTGGCAGTGTGCAGGTGGTTCTCAGGCTTGCTCTACATGTTAGATGTGCAGTTGATCACCGGCTCTGTGTTGCTTCTCTGGAGACTACTGTGTTCCACTGCTTTAAGGACTGGCTTTGGCAGAAGGCGTGGCCACCAGTGAGGGGACCTTTGGGCTGGCCAAGTAGCCCCCGCACCTCAGCACAGAGGCAAAGCTGCAGCTCAGAGAGAGGGGCTGCCTAACAGGGCAACAGAGGGATGCCCCACGGCCACCACACATCAGGCAGCTGAGATGCAGGGACGTCCCAGTGCTGCAGCATTTGAGTTTCATAGAAAGCTGAAGGTGAAGTACCTAGGCAGGGATGTGCAGTACTCAGAGGGAGATGTTGGGCTGCAGCCAAGAGGCCAGGCCATCAGTAAGTGTGGTTGTGCACCTACTATGCGCCGCTGGGCCCAAGGAGTCCTACTGTGTGCAAGTGTCTGTCAGACACTGGGGTTAGCAGAAGAGAGGTCAGAGCCAAGTCTTGTTCTCAGAGTGCCCACATGTGGCACTGGGAAGGAGAGGAACCTCATTCCAGGTGTCTGGGACTGTCCCCTGACCTCTACCCCCCCCATTACTCCTCTGTCCCATAATGCTTTCTGAGCCCGGAGGTCTTTGTGCTCTTGGAGAGTATCTGGTCTAACCTGTCATCTCAAGCCCAGGTTCAGGCATCCTTAAGAATCCTTTTCTAATATCTCAGGAAGCTAATGTCCCTAGCCTGGAGCATCCTGAGCAGATCTCACTGTTCCCTACCCTGCGTGCCTGCTTTGAATGGCTGGGCTGGATCTCAGCATCCTGGACAGGGCTTGGTGCACAGATCAGGTGAAAACTCTGGTGTAGAGGGTCATTAGAACCTCCAAGTTTGCTGTATAGCTGTATAGGAAAAGGCTTCCTGGGCAGGGAGGTCCATGGGAAAGGCTGTAACTTGCTGAGGGCTCCATGGAGGGACCATGATGAGGAGTGAGAGGCGGGCAGAGGGACGAGGAATGGGAGAATCTGCTGCAATTCTGCTCACAAAAGGCTGCCACCAGAACCATTCTTCAAGTTAGCCACTCAGGCTCAAGCCTGAGGTGGGTGGGGGAGGGGGTTGGGTGAGCAGTGGGAGGGACCAAGGCTGGACCTCCCAGAACTCAACCTAGTTACCAAGTCCCAGGCTATGGCATTGAGAACCCACATTCTGTGCCCCAGGAGGCAGAACTCAGCTCATATCATCTTCTGTCTGGATACCCAAGACTCTTTCACTCAACCACAGATACCTTTCCTCTTGCCTGGGACTAGTGGGCTGCCCCTCCCCCCCTCTGGAGACAGTCTACCTGGGCCTCTGATGTGCTCCTGACCCCAGACTAGATACTTGTTCTCCCCATCCCCCACATCTCTTGGTAGGGACATTCATTCTGCAGCTGAGGAAGCTCAAACCCAGATCAGGAGGACTTGTCTAAAAGCTAGATCTGTGGGACCCCAAATCCTGTGACACCCAGAAGGAGGCCATGAGGCTGGATTCCCTTAGCCTCTGGTTCCTCAGGCCCAACCCTAATCTCCAGTCAGAAACCCATTGTGGCTCTCAGGAACCATACCACCAGGGAAGGAATGTTCTGGAGGGAGCTGGGGGAAGTAGAAGGCTAGAGTGCCATCAGCTGACAAGAATGGGCCCCTCCCCCAATTCGGGGGGGGGCAGGACCCTTCCCACTCCAATTCCAGGAGGTATACTGAATCCCCTCTTCTAGACCTCACCAAATCTGGAAGGTCATGTGATCCAATTCAGTCCCAGGGCCCAGGCCCTAACCACTGCCCCAGCCCTCCCCTTTCAGCTGAGGACAGGACCTACCTATGTCCCCCAGTCAGGTTGACCAGGCCCCAGGCTTGACACATACCAGGCTCAAGACCCTTGGCTGAGCGTAGGGAGGGAGGGGGAGAATCAAATTTAGGGAATCTATCTGTTTTCTGGAAACCTCTGAATTTTTCTGCAGTCCCAGTTGGGTTGAATAGTGTCCCCTCCCTCAGTGTGGGGGTGATGATGAAAAACAGCCAGGGAGGGGCACTAGGGAGGGTTCTGGCCTGGGGAGGGCCCCAGCTTGGGCCTGAGGTCATTGCTATGACCATACATAGAACTATGGCTTTCTAGGCCTGGATGCTTCCATTTGGGCCTGGACCATGCAAGGTGGGCCTTGGCCCACTGACATCATGTTTTGTTCTGAGGTCCCAAGAGGCTGGACCCCTCCCAGCTCGGGATATGATGGTGCCAGGCCTGTGATCTTTGCTCCTGTCTCAAGATACCTGGGTATCTGAGACCACTCATCATCAGTATTGAAGGTCAGATGGGAAGGCCCAGCCCCTCCCCTGGATCCAGGCCCCACCTTGGGCCAGGCCTGAGCTCAGCCAGGCCTACCCCTCAGGGACTGGTGGCCTGGTACCCAGATATTTCCATATTGACAATTTCAGCCTTGGACATGGGGGCCAGGAGACCACTGAGGCCAGGGGCGATGGCCCCGAACCCGGAACCAAAGGACCGGGCCTAGTGACCACACACAGCCTGGGCCCTGGCTCGGGAGGAAAACACTGTGGGGGGGGGGGGGGGGGGGCTGTCCGAAGGTAAGGGTGAAGGCGGCCGAAGCCGCGAATATTCAAATGGGCTGGTCCCTTGCTTGCCGCGCGCCGGGGCCCCTCGGAGCCCGGGGCCCCGTTCTGTGTTGGGGTGCGTGGGAAGGCCTTGGGGGCGCTTCGGGCCGCGGCCGCGGGGTTCCCCCAAAATGGCTCCAAGACGCGGGGCCTGGGAAGCCGCGCGGGCTCCATCCCCTCCTGCCGCCATCGGCGCAAACTTCGCTACCCCGGCCCCGACAACTGTCGGCACAACGGCGGGGACGCTGCGCCAGGGTCCCGGGGTCCCAAGGGGGCGAGCGCGCGAGGGCCTTGGGGACCGGTCGGGGATGACGCCCCTGCCGTGGCCGCCCCGAGCCCCGCGCGCTGCCCCGCGTCCAGCCGCGCCCCGCGCCCGCCACCCGCGCCCACCCCGCGCCCACCGGGCCCCGCCGCGCCCTCTGGCCGGCTCTCCCCATCACCCCCCGGCCCGCCCGCGGCACTCACCTGAGTTTCTCCATGTCTGCGGCAGAGGCCTGCGGAGAGCAAAGGAGAGGGTCAGCGCGCAGCAGGGCGCCCCACCGGCCCTTTCCGTGGGGAGCCCCGTGCGCGCCCCAACCTGTACCCCCGTGCCTCAGTGGGCGCGCCGGGCCGCGGCTGTGTAACAGGTGAGCCCGCCCGGGCCGCCGCCGAGTTACGCCCCCCGGGCCGAGCCGAGGACCGGTCGGGGACGACGAGTGCAGCGGCCCGGGCGGCTCCAGCCTCGCTAATGGAGGGGCCCCGCCGTGCCCGTCGACTCTCGGGCGGCTGCGGCCCCCGCCGCTCCCCGGCCCTCCGTTAACCCCTGCTGCCCGGTTCCCTCCCTCTGTCCCTCCCGAGCCCGGCAGCGCAGGAGCGCCGAGTCGCTGGAGAGTGTTGGAACCACGCACCCGGCCGGCGCTCACGCAGCTCGAGGGGAACGGCATCTTAAGCGAGGCACTCTTGCTTCTGCTCAGGACCCTGCTGCCCTCCGATCTCGGGGTTCGGAGCTTGCCCCCCCTCCTGGGCCCGAGGGATTAACCCCGGCGCGCCCGGTTCTCTGGCGGGGCTCCGGGCCACTGGCGCAGACCCGCCCGCTCGAAGCGTGGAGACCTTGCAGGCTGGACGACCTCTCCTCGTGCCCGGGACCCACTAGCCCCTGTTAACCCTGCGGGTTCCGGCGAGCCCCGGGGACGGCTAGCGGCCCGAGCGGGATCGCACTTCCTGCGCGCAATGGGCTCTCCTGCGCCCGGCCGCTGCCGCCCCGGGGCTGCCCCCGCCCTCCCGCGAAAGGCTGTGCTGGAGTCTGAAACCTAGGACGACGCCACAGACCTGAGAAGACTCATGGCTGCCCATCCCGGACCCTCGCGCCGGGCGCCGCCGCCGCGTCCGCCGGGAGCGCGCTCTGCTCGGTCCGGGCCCCACTCCGCCTCCCCCCACCGCCCCGCCGAGCGAGGGCGCAGCCCGGCCTCGGAGCCGCGGCTAGGCTTGGCCAGCAACTTCCCCGGGCGCCCGAGCAGGCCTCCCCGGATCTCCCCCAGCCTCAGTTTCCTCTCCTGAAATCTGGAGGAGGGAAAGCAGGAGGAGCTCGGCCAGGCGCTCTGCTGCCCTCCAGCTCTGGCGGGCTGCAGAGGGGCTGGGTTAGGGAAAGGACCCCTGGGGCGCCCGGTGGGCTTCCCTCCCCGCACACTTTAATAAAAGTTTACAAAAAGCACGAGCCCAGACCCCCTTCTACAAATCATCCTTCAGGACTAGAGTTCTCTAGTTAGAATTTGACGCATACCAGCACGACCCCCAGCGTCCCTTGGCCCCAGGCCCACCTTTTCGAGTCCCCATCACAGCGCCCATCTCCTGTACTGGGTCCCAGCATATAGCAGACACTCAATAAACACGGATAGTGCATGCCTGGGTCCTATGGCACAGAAACACGGCTTCTCCAGCCTTCCCCTGGCTGGCTGTGAGTTTCCACGCAGGAGTCCCGGATCTCCCCAGGACACCCAGCACCCAGCAGTCTTGGCCTCCTCGAGCCAGCGCAGGGTGGGAGGAGCCGTCCACTGGCAGGGTCAGAGCCAGCCAGGATGAAACCAACCCCCCCAATCCAAGTGTTCATCTACCCATCCATCCACCAATGGCTCCCCAGTCATTTGGTGGCTGACGGGGATTTTACCACCAGGGAGGAGCGCAAAGGAGAGCAGCGGGCTCTCCAGGGGTTTATCTGGGGGTACACTTCCACCCCAAGTCTGGGGTCTACCTTAAAGAAAGCTACCTGCCCCCCCTGTCCCAGGGCAGTAGCTCCTTCCAGACATCGGGCCCTAGATCTACAAGAAGCCGGGCCCTTGAGCTGACAGTGCTTGTTGGGGTCTGGACGCCATTCTTAGAGGCCTCTTTCACCCAAAGGCAGGGGCCATCCCTCATTTGTCTTCGGCCTCCTCAATCACTCACAGTGAATGACCTGCCAGGGCATTTGTCTGGAATTAATAAGAATGTATTAAAATTTAATTTTAAAAAGCTAGCATCAATCATTTACATTGACTATTTCAGCTCTTCTAGAAGGCTCGTTTGGGAAACCCCTCCCCCTCCCAAGGGACTAGGAAAGAGGCAAGGAGGTGGTGGGTAGCTTTGTGGCTAGGGTGGGGGTGGGGCAGGGCAGTAGCCAATGGGAATGAGCCTCTGCCCTTTCCTCAGCGGTTTCAGATTCTGGCCCTTGGCTTTGATCATCCTCCTCTGACCCAGCGCCGGTGGGACACCATTGGCCCCTGGCCTTTACAGTCCCTCTCCACAAGCAGCCCTGCATGGAGAATCGAGATAGCTACTGGGTTTAAGATCTAGCTAGCCAGAAGCCCCTGTCTTTTCCAGTGCCATCCAGAACAGCCCGACCTGGTGGAGGAGGGGCCACCAGGCATGGAATTGCAGGAACTGGGGACCCGAGGCTTGGCCCTCCTGGGCCACCATGCTGTCAGAGTGCATTTCAAGTCCTGTGCTCACCTTCACTCACCTCAGACCTGGAGAAGCATCTACAAGGGAAGGTGGAGGTTGGGACCCGTGGTGGCCCAGGGGACGTCTGCTTACTGGCACTTTCACCTGAGCCTGTTTATGGACATACCTCTCTTTCTCAGGCACCTTCCACTGCTTGTAGGGCCTGTGATGCCCCAAGTGTCCCCCCACCACGTGTCCTGGGCCCCACACTGAGCTCCTTGTGACCAGGGTGGGCCACCTTCTTCCTGCCACCTTCATCTTTATTCCCTACAACATTCTCACGAGACAAGTGAAAAATGACAGAGGCCCAGAGGCTTGCCCCCACCTGGCACCCTGCCTCTGTCATTGGGGAATGAAGGCTTGTACATCCAATGTGTCCCCTTGAGGAGGTGGGACTGGAACACTCAGCCCTACCTAACAGTGACCCCCATCCTTCCCCATACAGGCCACCTAGCCATCCAATTTCCTGTCTCAGGACCTAGCATTTCTAGGATGCTATGCCCAGACTTTTGCATAGCCGATGACTTCTTCTCTGGCTACCCAGGCAGTGCAAGACCCTCAGCTTCGGTGGCTGTGTCACAAGGTTACCTGTGGCATTTCAATGCACAGGTAAGGACAGCCTGTGTGAAAGAAGATGCCATTAGCCCAGTGCAGCTGTCTGTCTCATCCTCCACAGGCCCTCCCTGGCCCTCCCTGAAGCTTACCCCTACCAGCTGGAAGCCTGGATTCCTGGGTACCCTGTGAAGAGTTCAGCCCATTGAAGACAGGCTCAGGTCCCGCTCCACACACAGCCTAGGTACTGACGCCACTTCAAAGGGCCAAGTCAGCCTGGAGGAGGGCCTGCACCGAGCCCAAGTCCACCCTTACCTGTCCTTCCTTGGCTTTTTTCTCTTTCACTCTGTCCTGACAGGAATGGAGAAAACGGCCTAAGCATACGGGGGAGGGAGAGAGCCTACCCCTCACTGATTGAAATGGGGAAATCTCCTAATCGGCTATGCCATCTCAAGCAAGGCTGTCTCCCTGTCTGAGCCTCAGTGCTTCATCTAGCAGGGAGGAATGGAAAATCCCAAGTGGCCTGTGGAAGGGGCTGTCCCGAGAACTAGGCTGCAAAGGGTGCCTGCTCCAGAAAGCCAGCCTTTATATGGCTATTTGGGGGAGGACTCCTCCCAAGGGATCTCATTTTGCTCCTGGCATTCTTGCATTCATTCAACAAACATGGGTTGGGTGCTGAGACCCCCCCGCTGTTGGGGAAAGGCAGTATCTCCCTGAGCTGGGGTACTGGGACACTCAGTACCCCAGGGGTCTAGAAGAACCTCCTGTATCAGGCCAGGAGGGATCAGGTGGAGTTGGAAAGGCTCTTGGGCACAGACTACTTGGAAATGGTACAGATGAGAGAGGAGAGAGGACAGGACTCTGGTCTAGAGGGTCTGAAGCTGCCTGCACAGTCTGGAGGGAGGCATTGATGGAGACATGGGAACCTGGAGTTGGGGAGCAGGGTCAGGAAAGGCAGATCTGGGAATGGCAGACCAGAAGTGGTACTTATGCCCTGACATTGGTCAATGTAGCCCACTGAGGTCACAGAAGCCAGGACAGTACCTATCGGCTCCATTGTGTCCAGAAGTAGACAGCAGGGACAGGTGTCTCTAGGAGGGTGAGAAGTTACCTTTGTGCCGTGGCTGGGTCATAGGAGAGTTGAGGACAGGGATCTAGCATCCCTAGGCAACTCCCCACCCCGGGGCTCTGTCTGTGCTGTAGGGTCCCCATGGCAACCTCAGTTGGTGGGGGCCAGGAGAACGCCCTTCCAAGGCCGCCTAGCAAGTTAGCTTGGCTTGGCGCTGGCCCAAGAAGAGGGCAAGCCGTCCTTCTTAGGTACAGTAGACCCTGCCTCCTCAGGCTTTTCTGGGCTCTATGGGCTCACAGGAATCCCCCTGCAACCTTATGCATTCGTCACGGAGGCCTGTGCCTGCAAACTGGCCTACCAGGCTAAATCTGGCCTGCTAGCATGTTGTATTTGGCCTGTTTGAGGTTTCTTTCTTTCGTTTTTTTTTTTTAAATGTTTGAGCCAACATTTAAAAATTGGAAGAGTTTACATTTTAAAATCCGTATTTTTGGCTTCTACTGAAAAATTTGGAAGATCTAGCAACTCCGTCCCACATTCCCACATGGTAAGAGATTGGGGGCACGAAGCAGCCGCCCTGCAGAGGCACCTAGCACCCAGAGACAGACACACTTTCCAAGCCCATAGGAAGCTACTTGCTCTAGGCCACTCAATATCAAGCATATCGTCACAATCCTACCCTACCAGGTCACTGGCTCTGTGCCTCTTGATTTCTTTTTGACAATTTAGCTCTCAAAAAAAAAGGAAAGAAGAAAAAAGAAAGATTGGCTTTGAAGTCACGCACACTGGATTATGAGTGAGCCTCAGTCCCAAGTCTGTAGCAGTCGGGGTTTCCCGTGACTGTTCATACTGACACCTCATTTATCTCCCTGTGGTCACTCATCCAGACAAGACAGAGGCAGGACTAAAACCCAGCACCACATGCTAGGCATCTGCTCCTTCCCTTGAAGAGCTGCTGAGGGCCAGGCATTGGCTCTCACAGGGGTTTCAGGCTGGTCCCACCCCATTATGCACCCTTGGCCTAACAGGTCTCCAAGTCGCTCAGCTACAACCCTCCCCCCCCCAAGTGCCAACCCCAAAGACTGTAACATCAGCCTTGGGACAAAGCCTTGCAGAGCCCTGGGTGTCAGCAACTCCTCCAGAGTCCGATAGTCCTGAGAGGCAGGGCGTGGGGGGTGGAGGGGTAATGTATACAGAGCTCATAGCTGCAGACAGTGGGAGTCCCTGACCTCATGGAGGAGATGGGGGGCATGATCAGGAGTTATTCACTGCTGAGAAAACTGAGGTCCAGGAAGGCAGGAAGACCCATACAGTCACACAGCAGGCAGCTGGCCCTGGTGGACCGTGAGGGAGGCTCTGGGGATCTCTAAGAGTCAAAGAACTCTATGTCCCCTTCCAGGATTGGCTCTGCCGGCAGGCCACTTGGAGGCCATGACGATGGACTGGAGGCTCACTGCAGCTGGCTTCTGCAGTGTCCTTCCCTGCATACTGAGGAACATAGAATGAGATAGTCTATCCAGGAGCTTACAGCGAGATGAGCCAGTAAGCACGCAGTCCTCTCCCCAGACCGCGGATTATCCTGGTAGCTATAGTACTTTGCTAATTGAGTCCGTGGAGAAGCGACCAGAACTATAGAATGAACACTGTCCTCGGTGTACTACATCTTTAGGAGCCTATGTCGAGCCAGGAAGGCTTGGTCAACTCAGCAATGCTACTATTACTGTTATCATTTACTCAGACCCCAGACCTAGTTTGTTGTTCTGAAGCCAGAACCTTCACTTTCACTTTAGTGATTCATGCTTTGGGTGCCTATGAGATCTTCTTTCATACAAATCACAAAATAATAGTATGATAAGGGCATATCTCTTATGCCTGTGGGGAACGGACTCGTGCTCATGCTGGGGTAGGGGGGATTAGAATTGGGACTCACCCTGTTGAGGCTGGGGGAACAAGCTGGATCTCCCTGCTCGCTGCTGCCAAGGCCCCTGATGCCTGTGGCTTCCAAGGAACACCAGGGACTCTGAGCCAGATCCTTCTCGTCTGAAGCTGTGGCTATGGCCTGGGCTTCCTGGGCTGGGCTGGTGCTGTGGTCACCTGGAGAGGGCTCCTGGCTGTGGCCTTGAGAACCCCTGAAGCCCTCCAGGGTCACTGGATCCAGCACTCGCACAGTGACTTCATCCAGGAACTTGGAGAAAGGCATCCGGGCTTCCCGCTGGCGGCTCAAGCGGGCAAGGGATCCCCCAGCAACCTTGCAGCCTGAGCTAGGGGCTTCTGCTGGGGA